TGAGCTGAAGGCTGACACTTAACAACTGAGCCCCTAGGCACCCTACAAGCCCCATTTTTAAGGTGGATCTATCCCCTTGCTAGGCAAATAGTCTCAGAAGATGGGCAAAGAGAGCAACGTTCACTTATTCAATCGTTCAGCAACAGAATGTTACAAAAGAGGAGGAATATGCTACTTAAATCCTACTATGCACATCACTGGTTCCCTTCCTCCACTGGGAGAGACTGAACATGTTGATTCAATTACTTCATTCCTTTCTAACTTTCAAGGATAGACAGTAGCGTACATAATCTCAAGAAACTTATTTTTTAGTTATTTTTTACATTTTATTAAGTAGGCTCCACGCCCACCATGGGGCTTGAATTCACAAAGCTGAGATCAAGAGTTGCAGACTCTACTGAGCCAGCCAAGTGCCCTTCAAAAAAAAAAAGAAAAAGAAGAAGAAGTAAAAGGGAAAGCAGATGTATTCATGTAAGACTAACTGCTTGCTCGAGGTCCACTAGGGAGGTCACCCTCAATACCCCCACCCAGGGAGCCTGAGTCTGGATGAATGCTAATGTTCCATCTTCCACATGTTCCCCCACTTCTAGCCACATCTTAGTAGAGCAAACCATGCACTAGGCATCTATCCTTCCTTGTCTTCTTCGCTCAGTATCCCATCCTGTCTATGAAGTTGCTCATGACCCTCCCTTCGCATCTTCTCAACAAAATGACCATTCCTGTATGTATGCTTCACTGTGCTGCAAATTACACGTACCATAACTGAAACAACGCATTCTTTACTGCAGCTTGCTTTCAAACCTAAGCACAGTGCTTAGAACATAATACCTGCTTAGTAAGTGTTAAGCATATTTTAATATGAATGAATGTATTATGTTGTCTATTCTAAGAATAAATGGTTTTTTTTTTTAATGGCTCTCACTACAGAAAATTTAGGTATTATTTAACAAAGTATAAAAAGAAGTTTCCATTTAAAACAGACAAATAACCATTAAAAAATGTAATAAGGTGGCAGTGCCTGGGTGGCACAGAGACTCTTGGTTTGGGCTCATGTCGTGATCTCAGGGTCCTGTACTGAGCTCTGTGTCAGGCTCCACACTCAGCAGGGAGCCTGTCCTTTTCTTTCTGCCTCCCCCCCCCAAAATAAATAAATGTTTAAAAAAAAAAAAAAAGGATAACAAGATGATCTGGAATTAAAGGAAACCAATTAGGAGCACCTGGGTGGCTCAGCTGGTTAAGCATCTGACTCTTGATCTTGACCTCACAGCTCAGGTCATCTCAGGGTTGTGGGTTCAAACCCCCTGTCAGATTCTCTCTCTCTCCCCCTGGCCCTCCCACCCCTAGAAAGAAGGAAAGAAAGCAAACCAATTCTTCATTAGATTTATTCTTAGGTACATTATCATTTTTGTTATTTAGCAGTATCTTTTCTTTATAAAATTACATAGCTGACCCCCACACAACACGGGTTTAAACTGCATGGGTCCACTTACACATGGACTTTTTTTTTAAACAATCCAGTGCTGTAAATGTACGTTCTCTTCCTTATGATTTTCTTAATGGTATTTTCTTTTCTCCAGCTTACTTTATTGTAAGAATACAATGCATAACACATATAACATATAGAACACGTGTCCATTGACTATTTGTGTTATTGGCAAGGCTTCCGGTGAACTGCAGGCTATCAGCAGGTAAGCTCTGGGGGGGAGTGCAAGGTTACACAGGGATTTTCAACTGAATGGGAGGTGGTGAACTCAACCCCCATGTTGTTCAAGGGTCAGCTATATTTTCAGATTGTTTATTGCTACTTACACAAAAGCCCTACTGATCTTTATAAACTGATCTTCTATCCAGCAGCCATACTTGACAATGTTATTAGTTCTCATATCTCATCTGCAGATGCTCCTGGGATTTTTTATGTAGACAACTGCATCACCGGGGAATAAGGTCGGCTCTGTTTTCTCCTTTCCAATTCGTACTGCTTGGATTCCTTCCTCTTCTTATCACTAGGTTACCTCCCCCTCTGCACTGCTAAATGCAAATGATTAAAGCTGAAATCCCCAAGTAATTCCTGAGTCTCATGGTAATCCCCTCCAACATGATACTATCCTATAAGATGTTGGATGTATGTTTACACTATGAGTCCTTATTAGCTTAAGAAAATACATTTTTAGGGCCACCTGGGTGGCTCAGTGGGTTAAGCCTCTGCCTTACACTCAGGTCATGATCTCAAGTCCTGGGATCAAGTCCCACAATGGGCTCTCTGCTCAGCAGGGAGCCTACTTCCCTCTCTCTCTCTGCCTGCCTCTCTGCCTACTTGTGATCTCTGTCAAATAAAATATTAAAAAAGAAAAAGAAAATTCATTTTTATGCCAAAGGTGCTGGAAATTATTATGTATGGATTTCATCAAATGTTTTTTCTTAATCTTTTTTTGTAGGTTTTCTCCTGGCAAATTACATTAAAAAATTATCCAATGTTAAACTAGCCTTACATTACCAAGATGAAGACAAACCTTATTTGGTCAAGAGGTGATAATTTTTCCATATACATTGTTGCATTTGGTCTGCTAATATCTTATGGAAGACTTCTACATCTATGTCAATGCTCATAACTGAGGCTAGCCTATAATCTTCCTCTCTCAAACTGTTCTATGTTGCAGATATCAACATTATACTAGTCTCATAAAATACTATTGTTTAGAACAGTGTGTATAAAACAGGTTAATACCTTAAAGGTTTTTAGATTTTGTTTGTGAAGCTCTGGATTCCCTCCCTCCTTGTTTTTAGATTTTGGGGGTAGCCTATTAACTACTGATATATTTTATGACAGTTGGTCTGTCTTCTGTTTCTCTGCCAAACCTGGTAAATTATGTTTTTCTACAAGATGATCCATTTCTTGACTAAAGCTGTTCATAATATTGTAATTGATTTCTTTACTATAATAACCTTTTTCAATCCTAATACTGTTTATTTTTAATTTTTCATTTTTTATTTGATTCTGCCAATTTTTCCATTCAATGAAACAGCTTTTGTGTTGTCAATTTCCATTTCTTTTTTATTTATTTAACATCTCCTTTTATTTTTAGTATTTCCTCCTGCTTTCTTTGTGTTTGTCCATCAAAGGACAGCTTAGACGTTTTACTGGTTTCTAGATGTAACATCCTGTCACTCCAAAGTCTTTTCTAAACATTTTTTATCTTCATAATGATTTCATCTTAGTGTCACAAATTACTAAGAAGTTTTTTTAAATCTCCAACATTCTAAGAAACATTCCATTTGTCAAAACCTAGAAGTGATAGTTTACTTATGAATAAAAATGTCAGTGTTTCATATGAAATTTTCCTGACATATTTCTAAATTTTTTCACTCATTCAGGCATAACTGATACATAACATAATAATATCCAGGTGTACAACATGATTCAATCTAACTATTTTTAAATAGTCATTTTCTTTTCTGCCAACTTTTAGATATTTTAGGGTTGTTCATCAGTACTATGAAATGATCAATTCATTCAATTTACCAAAAATGTCATACTGGTTTGACATGTTGTATTGAAAATGCAAGTTCACTTTCTCCTCTGTAACAGCATCTTCAGGAGCGTGTGCTTTGTCTCGGGCCTGACCCACAGGGGGCCACTGTGCTGGAGGGAGAGCCCCCGGCAGTACCTGGGTTCCCCACCAGCAGCGAAGTTTCCTGGTACGCAGACTGGGGACCAGAGAAGAGCCGCACAATGGGGCAGAGAGCGGGAGGGGTTGACCGAGGAGGGAAAGAACAGGGTAGGGTGGGGTCCAGGGGGGCCAAAAGAGGGAGAAGGGACCCTGCGAAGGCAGGAAGGGGGGCAGGCTGGGCAGTTTGCATTAAGTAGGGGAACTGCTCTATCCGTAGGCCGACTCCTTACTGCACGCATTTCTGCGGGGTGTCCCAGGAGGGTCACCAGTGTCTGTTAATCTCCGGACCATGGCTGTGTAAATGAAGCTGGAGGCTCCCATCTTTCAGAAAGCCACAAACACCTTTGCCTCCCAGGCTGACAGTGTGCAGGCTGGCATGCAGCCCCGCCCTGCACCCCAAACTGTGGTCTCAGAGCCCGACCGCTCACAGGCCCACAGCCACTGCGTGCAACCATGACAAAGCTAAGTCCCCGATATTTGCAGTTTGTAACCACCATCCTATAACACAGGACTGCTGCAGCACCCTGCTACACACCACACCTCAGGGCGTCCCAGTGGAAACCTAGGGACCTGTCCTTGGTTAAGGACTCAGCTGGAAATCTGGTCCACTTTTCCTGCACGTGGCTAATCCTGGTTGATTCCACCATCTTAGTGGAACCAAAAGTATTTCCTAAGCTGTCCTTTAGAGAAGTTCTTGCTGCTATTAGCATATACTTAATGCTAGCAAGACCCCATCTACATTTTCCTCTATCTACTGCTCCTGGTCAAGAAATCAAGTCATCTGATAAATTCCGTCATCCTTCTGAGAAATCCAGGGTGGGAAATGGTTAGAAGTTTAGTTTTCATCCCGGACATGCGTCGCAAAAGCCTAACTCTCCCAACAACCTTGACACCTACAATTTTTCTATCAAACATGAGTTCAACAGTACTTTCTGAAACTATGTACACTTTCAACTCTTTCCTCTAGCCCCACACCTTCGGCAGGAAATCAATTCCTTAAACATACAATCTGCTCCTTAAGTGGTATTTCACATTTTTGTTTGTCCTAAATTTATTCCAGATTCCCAAACCTAGTTAATTGGAAGTCCAAAAGACCTGACACATGTTCATAATTTAAAGTTGTATTTATATTTTTGGGCAATTAGCTCTAAATCCTCACCCAAATGCATGGCTCCTAAAAGGGGGAAACAATGGGAAGGAAGACCAGTACCTGGTTCTCCCACACAGAACGTGCTGACTGCACTGGCAAAGCACTACTGCAGCTCACTATTTCACAAGTTCTTTTGTAATTCGAGACAACTTGCAGCAAGAATTTAATTAACAGACACTTACCTGATGGTCCTGAATCTTCCTGCCCACCACTCGGAACGTGTTGTTGCCTGTGTGGTGATAGATGTGAACTCTGCTGAACCCAGTGGAGCCACCAGCTGGTACCCACTTCTTGTTGGCGTCATCGTACACCATAACAGCAGCTCTTGCCTGACAGATACTCTGTTCACTGTGAAAAATAAAATATGCAAACTTAAGATATTTGAAATATGCTAAGTTTCCCATACAGCTATGCAGAGTTAGCAAACAATCAGTGCTTTCCTGGGTACTAGAACAAGAAAGACAGTGGCTTCTGGCCATTATGAGCAGAATCTAATGCGGAGAAGAGACCAAAAACTGAAGTGTGGTGAGGGACCGGAGGAGGTCCGGGTCCACAAAAAGCAGAGACAAGCAACACAAGAATGGTTTTCTCATCAAATACGTTGAGGATCTAACATGCTCATGAAACTGAATACAACTGCAAGTATAAATTAACCACTATTTGTTCAAACAGACATCTGCTTATAATACTGATGACCTGTGATTACCCACTCTTTACTGGCAAGATTAGTTTTACCATCAGGTTTGCCTCAAGGTCTACAAAACAAATTCTGATAAGCTCTATCTGCCCCTTGAAATACAGAGAGGCCACCAACAATCAGTGAATGGCAATGAGACTAAGGCCCTGTTTCCATTTGGGAAGACGAACAACCTATGTCCTCAATTTCTTCATGTAAAAATGAGATAATTTTTAAAGATCCTTCTAGATTTTTAATTCTAAACTTCATAGACAAATATTAATGGAAAGACTATTTCCATGATCCAATCTTTAAATCTCAGCTTTGTTTCAATTATCTGTTACCAAGTAAGACTGAGATACATACAGAAATAAAATGTAGAGATGATCTGAATTGCATATTAAGTACTAGGTTCATCTTTTAAATATTCTATAATACTACTGGGGGAAAAAAGACTGATTTGAATTTTATTACTTCATACCATATCTTATTTTTTAGAGTCAAATTCCAAGAGTGAGCAACAGATGAAAAGATACACATCTGACGCTTAAAGAGAAGTTAATGGAGATGCCCCTAAGTAGCTCATCCAACCTCATCCTTAACAAAAGCACTGCTCACCTACCAATTTTAGCCTCAAAGATTTTAAACCGCTAATCACGACAGTTCTTGGCCAATACCCTGAAAAGCAAAAAATCCCTTTCAGGCCCTCCCCTCTTACTCACACTCCTGCCCCATCCCTCAACAGCCTGTGCTTTACTCGTCACATGACTTGATGACAGATGATCAGGGCAAGACCCACAGGGGTCACAGGACTGAGTGACAACGGTCACTTCAGAACAGTGAGGTCATCGTTATTTCTAATTTTCCATCAGAGAAACTTTACAAAACCTAACTCATAACAATGTATGTACAGCACAAACAATGAAATAGAGTGGTACTGTCTAAATTTTCATGTTGCACTGAAATTTCTTGGTACAATAGTCCTGGGAATAAAAGCAAGTTAATGACAAAAGTGTGAATTATTTCTAAACACCTGATTAAAGAGCATTTGTCAGCACAGAAGTTGAAATCTCTTCATCACTCACAACAGAAATACTTGTGAAGTGACAGCATTTTCAGGACCTCACACAAAGATTATGTGAAAAAAGCTAAGGCAAAGTGCCCCTTACAGCAAATAATCCAAGAAATCTACTAATAATCGTAAATAACAAAACAGTATTTTCCAGTTTTCAAAAAAATTAGTATTTTGGACACACGTTTCCTGAGGATTCGTAATTCAGTTTCTCCTCCAGAAGTCCCAATGGGATCACAGAAGCCAAAGCAATAAACCCCCACTTGCTGTAAATTAAGCCATTCCATGACTAAAAACAAAACAAAACAAAACCCTTTTTAATATACATAGGAAACCTAAAACCAAGAGAGCTCGACATAATGTCCCCACTGTTTCCTCCATTTTTCTCCACCATTGCACTGGAGTGGGCAGCTCGAGACATTCCACACAGTGAAGTACACAGTTAACTCAACAGCTTCAACTCACCCTTGATTAATCAAGATAGATACAAGCTACATAGCAATCAAGTGTCTGGTCACTTCCATTGCCCAGGGAAAGCTATCACCACAGAAAGACAAACAGACATATCCAAGCAGCCAAGAGAGGACACAAATGCCAAAATTAGTTGACTAGTTTTCTAATGAAGATGAAAAGAAATCAGGAGCCTGGGTGGCTCAGTGGGTTAAGCCTCTGCCTTTGGCTCAGGTATACTCTCAGGGTCCTAGGATCAAGTTCCACATCGGGCTCTCTGCTTGGCAGGGAGCCTGCTTCCTCCTCTCTCTCTCTCTCTGCCTGCCTGTCTGCTTACTTGTGGTCTCTCTCTGTCAAATAAATAAATAAAATCTTAAAAAAAAAAAAAAAGAAATCTTCAAAATGAGATACTAAAAATACAGACCCAAATCTAAGCAAAGACAAGAAGCACAAAGAAAAGCCAAGATTAAAGAGAAGAAAAAGTAACACGCTGTGTGGCAAGCTGTGAGGGACAGGTCATGCCCGAATAACTCTGTCGTCCTACAAGCCATGGCAAGGCCCAGACAAGAAGCAATGGCACCGCCCGCTGGGGTCCTCAGTGATGAATGCAAGCCAAGTCCTTCCAATTCCATTCCACAGCATCTGAGGACCTGTCCTCACTAGACAGACATCTGTGTTGTCATAAAAATTATCTGGTCTTTGTCCTGGCTCCAGGCACAGAGCTCCTAAAACCCCTGGAATCTCCCGGTCAGGGAGTGGGTCTACGCTTCACAATGCGGGCCAGCTACTGGAAAAACCACACCATGCTTAGAGGGTGCAAACTTTCAGTTCCACTGCACCCCTCACCTCTGCAGAGGGAGGAAAGGCCAGAGATCGGGTGCACTCACCAATGGGCAATAGTGTCCTCCACAGTCAGAATACTTCATGTGCATCTCCGTTCTCCCTCCACTTTAAAGAAACCAACTTTGCACTCAAGACAAGGCACAACTGTGCCTTAGGAAAGAAAACGGAGAGAATTCTCGTCACCAGACCAACACTAAAAGCTTACCAGAAAAAGGCTACAGAACTAACATGTATATTTTAAGAGACTATAACGTTTACAAGCATAAATCATTTTTAAGGACACCAAGCTTGAACCAGTTCAGTGATCCAACCTTCATCACCAGGACAGGTCACACTGGATTTGAGGGTTTCCACTACAGGGCACATTTAGGAAATGCTGATGAAGATTTTCTCCTTCATATTCCATCCTGGGGCAGGCGGGAAAGAACCACCTTGCTAAGATTCAGAGGGAAAGCTGCCTGCTAGTGACAGGTGCCACCGAAGGACACAGGAAAAGACATGAAAGAGACACACAGAGACAAGAGGAAAGGCAGCAAACAATCTGTTTTCTGCAAGGCGAAGAAACCATCTGGGAGGCAGCAGTTCCAAATATGTAGAAAAGCAAAACTTCCCATAAAGACCACATAGGCGTACATCACTATTCTAAGAAATACTAAGGTTAAAAAGGGAAAAAAGGGAAAATAAAAGGGCGCCTGGGTGGCTCAGTGGGTTAAACCTCTGCCTTTGGCTCATGGTCTCGGGGTCCTGGGATCAAGTCCCGCATCGGGCTCTCCACTTAGCATGGGGGCCTGCTTCCCCACCGCCCCCCGCCTGCCTCTCTGCCTACTTATGATGTCTCTCTCTCTGTCAAATAAATAAATAAAATCTTAAAAAAAGAAAACACCAACGTGTCACTACTGAACTCATCGCACAACATCTGTATTCACGTGTTAAGTACAAATGCAATTGAGTTTATTAACTGATCCATAGTCACAAAAGAAGATGATCCATCTATCTAAGGCAAACAGCATGTTTCAGGAAATGTTTCAGCACATCTGTTGGGTTGTCCTGTAGGATGAAACAAATCTCTTACAATGGGGAAAAATCATTGGGTTGGGTAAAATGTGGAAAAAGTACCTTCGAGGAGGCGCTCACTGCACGCAGCCGTGCGTGTTCAGAGGTGAGGAGGGCATCCCCCAGACACCCGGAGGCACCATCTAGCTTTAGTCATGACTACACCTCTTGACTTGGGCAAGCACACAAAAGGCACAACCCGGTCAGCATGACAGTGACAAGAAGAACCGCCCAGCTCTGCCCACAATGTAGCTGGAAAGAGAGAAGTGACAAAGCAAATGAGAAGGCACAGCTCCGGAAAACTCAGAACCACACGAGAGGAGGAAGCAAGGAAGCAAGGACAAGAGCTGGAGGCATCTGTGGGGAGAGAAGAAAATGAAGTCGTGCTGGGCTGAAGTCAAGGGAACAGCAGGACAGGAAAGAGCCTGGGTGGAAGCCTGCCTCAGTGCACGACTCAGGCTGGGTACTCAGAAGGAGGCCGGCCTTACTGCAAAGGAACACAGGCAAATTCAAGCCCTTCTGCCTTTCCTGGGGCCTACAGGAAGGAAGACTAGGTTCCCAAAGGAAAACAAATGGTATTTTCCTAAAAATTAAAACCAACTGCTTCAGAGGACTGTGCTCTACCGCTATCCATAAACCAGTATTTTTTAAATACTTAAATTTAAAAATATGTTTTAACGTATTACTTAACTGCAAGGACAAAAATCCTAACAAAATGAAGGAGGTAAAATGTACTAATGGTACCACTCTCTGTACTCTCTAGTCCAGACTGTCACATCCCCTCTTAAAATCAAGGTCATAAAGAATCCCAATCACTTTACATCATCAAAGACCTAAAACCCAGAGACGTTTCGGTGACACAGGTCATTAATTCCTGAGCCAGTGCTGTGGAGAAAATGACACTAATAAAAATATGACTATATGAATACAACACAAAGTATCACACACTGTTCTATGTGCTTTGCCTTTATTAATTCATTTATCTACCCACCAACCTTACTGGTAGATACTGGTCAGCCAGGGGAAGAAGTGGGATTCAGAGCAGCCAGTCGGCTTCAGAGTATGGATTCAGAACCACTCTACTTGAATAAAGTGGACTCTTTCTAATGAATAAAGTAGACTCTAATGATCAATTATATTAGTTCCACAAAACCACCTCCTCAAAGTGTTCTACTATTTCCACATTCTTCTTCATGTTCTACTTTACATGAAGCTAAGAGAAAAGAACCTGGATACGACGGACTCTCAAACAAC